CTTGCCGAGAAGATCTTCCAAGAGATGCATTCTGCATATTCTTTGAAGAGAGCATTGACTACTTCTGCAAGAGAAGCAGAGTATAAGGATGAAATTGATGTGGGATATGTCAAGATGATGGATGCAAGTGAGCATGTTATGCAACTGGTTGCACAATATGAGCTGGTTGGAACTTCTGAGAAAGCTGCAAAGCTTAGTGATTGGAGTGAGGACAAATCCTCTAAAATCGAACTCAAAACAACTTCCAGCAGGGCTAAGGTATGTATTTCTTGTAGAAAAACGCTACTTATCCTGTTATAGTGAACACTTTCTTAAACAATACATAGCTCACTTTACTGCTAAGCAAGCTGCACATATTTTGCAAAGCTCTTGGCTATTCTCTTGATGATATTTCAGGTATCTTTCCAAATTTGTGCATGCATAAGATTCACATTGAGGATGAGACTGTGTCATCGATTGAGAGCCAAAGGAAGTTGAATCCGAATCTGCAGGTCGTTGCCAAGAAGGAGGTCATGAAACTTTTGGCAGTTGGGATCATCAATACCATTTCAGATAGTGCTTGGGTCGGTCCAGTTCATATGGTTCCTAATAAAAAGGGAGCCACAGTGGTGAAGAATAAGCTGATCCTTACAAGTATTGTGACTAGGCACATGATGTGCATTGATTACATGTTGTTGAACGCTGCAACGAGGAAATATCACTTCCTATTGCCTTTCATTGACCAGATGTTGGAGAGGTTGGCGAATTATTCCTACTACTGCTTCCTTGATGGGTTTTCTGGTTTTTGTCAGATTCCCATCCATCCAGATGACCAGGAGAAGACCACTTGTACTTGTCCTTATGGTACATTTGCATATCGGAGAATGCCATTTGGACTTTGTAATGCTCATGAAAAATTCCAGAGATGCATGATATCTATCTTCACATACATGATTGAGAAGTTCATGGAGGTGTTTATGGAAAACTTCTCTACTTATGGGTATTCATTTAAAGACCGTCTTGACAACCTGTATCAAGTACTTGCTAGATGTGAAGAGAATCACTTGGTTCTGAACTGGGACAAATGCCACTTTATGGTCAGAGATGGCATTGTACTTGGGCATAGAGTATCAGACGATGGCATTGAGGTAGATAGGGAAAACATTGAGGTTATGACAAGTTTGCAGCCACCAAACTGTGTGAAGTCGGTAAGGAGTTTTCTAGGACATGCTGGGTTCTACCGAAGATTCATCAAGAACTTCAGCAAGATTGCAAGACCAATTACTGCTCTGCTTTGCAAGGATGTGAAGTTTGAATTGACTGCAGAATGCCATTATGCCTTTGAACAGATCAAACAAGCTAATGTGAGTGCTCCAATTGTACAATCTATAGACTGAGATTTGCATTTTGAGGTGATGTGTGATGCCAATGATTTCGCAGATGGAGCTGTTCTGGGCCAGAAGAAGGATAAAAAGCGTCATGCTAATTACTATGCCACCAAAACTTTTGATGATACACAGATGAATTATGCAACCACAGAGAAGAAATTGTTGGATGTGGTGTCTGCCTTTGAGAAACTTCGACAGTACTTGGTTGGAGCTAAGGTGATAGTGCATATAGACCATTCTACTCTCAAATACTTGATGCAGAAGAAGGATGCAAAATCAAGGCTGTTGAGATGGATTCTTCTTCTTCAGGAGTTTCATATTAAAGTTAGGTACAAGAAGCGAGTTGAGAATGGAGTAGCTGATCATTTTTCAAGAATCATGATAGAAGACGACGTTTCCATTGATGACTTCTTGCCTGAAGAGAGTGTATATTTTATTGAGACAAGATTGCAAGCACTTAATGCTGAAAACCTGCAATTTTCTTTAGCTTTGGACTCGGTGTCGATCGACATCAAGCTCGAACTCACAGATGCATATCGATAACCGTCGACACAGCTTATCCCAGATACTCGACACGAGCAACGAGTTTCGATGTCGATCGACACCAATCACGGACTGAAGCAAAACTTCTGCAGATTCTGGGTACTACTTTTCAAGAGCAAGCTTTTTCTAATATTATCCCTAGAAGGTCGTGGTATGCTGATATTGCAAACTATCTGGCTGCAGAGGATGCACCAACTGATATCAAGAGCTATGATTAGAAGAAGTTCATGAGGGAACTCAGAAGGTTTTACCGGGATGAACTTTACCTGTATAAGCATTGTTTAGTTGCAATATATAGATAATGCATTGCAGAGACTAAGGTTTCAGACGTGTTATTTCGTTGCCATGGTGCTGAGTATACTGGACACTTTGCTACCTTCATGACAATGTCCAAGGTTCTTCAAGCAGACTTCTGGTGGCCTATTATGTTCAAAGATGCTCAAACCTTTGTCTCTCAGTTTGATGTATGTCAGAAGAGAGGGAATATCAGTAAGAGACATGAGATGCCACAAACCTTCATCCTTGGGGTTGGAGTCTTTAATTGCTGGATCATTGACTTTATAAGTCTTTTTCCTTCATCTTATGGGAATAAATTCATTTTGGTTGCTATATATTATGTACCCAAGTAGGTAGAAGCGATTGCTAGTCCATCTAACGATTCTGATTGTTATAAGTGATGGTGATTCTCACTTCATTAGCAAGGTCTTTGAGAAGCTTTTGCAGAAGCATGGTGTTCATCATCTTATTGCTACTCCTTATCATCTTTAGACTAGTGGACAAGTTGAAGTCTCTAACTGACAAATCATGAAAATTCTGGAGATGACAGTGGGGAAGACAAAAAAGGATTGGTCTACAAAGCTGGATGATGCATTTTGGGCTTACATGGCTGCCTTCAAAACGCCTCTTAAAACAACGCCATTTCATCTGCTTTATAGAAAAGCATGCCATCTTTCAGTAGAGCTCAAACATAAGGCAGCATGGGCTGTAAAGAAGATGAACTTCGATTTGAAACCTTTTGCAGAGAGGCGTCTGATACAGCTGAATGAAAACTTCAAGCTGTATAAAGAGAAGACTAAGGCATATCATGATAAGAATATCATCTCTATACAGTTCGAACTCAATGACCAAATATTTCTAAATAACTTTCATTTGCAATTGTTTCCTAGAAAATTGTCTTCTCGTTTATCAGGTCCTGTTACCAAAAAAAAAAAAAATTATGATGGAATTGCTTTTGTAATTGTGTTGATGATGATGAGAAATGAGACAATGACTTACTTTTATAGTCAAGCTCTTAGAAGTTAGAAATAAAATGAAATAATAAGAATTGATTTACATGAATTGAATTTTAAGTTAAAAAAATCCAATTTATTAACCTTTGTCGTTACAAATTGACTCAATCAACAATTAAATTCAAAAAAAATTTTGAACCAAAAATATAATCTTTTTGTTAAATTCCAAAGTCCAATCTGAATACATATCTTTTTTCTCCAATATATCAAAGTTTTTAATCTTATGATATATTCTCTATTTTGCCCCCCAAAAAATGATATATTCTCTACTTATATATAAAAGGTTTTCATCTTATATTTCTAATATAAAATATTTTACAAATATTACATTTTAACCTTTATAAACAACATAATGTGGACTTTCATTTCTCATTCAAAATAATTCAATTTTTGTCAATTGAACACACTTATTTATAGTGCTCATGGCAATGATTACGTCATGCTTAACATCCAGTTATTCCTACGAATATCATCATCAAAAACTCACCAGAAATATGGTCAACACCACTTTGTCAAAAAATGAGTTCCAACACACAGCTCCATCTATACACACACCTCTAGACCAAGGATAGTGAGGAATGCTACAATCGATAACACTCCATGATTTTTGTTTTGCTCCCAATGTGAATACTGGAGAGTCAAACCACGACGGATCTTCCCTACAGCCTTGGCATTAATCTTCTTGCACAACACTTTATACTCATCATTGACTGGATTGTATCCGAAATAGTATTCCACAAGCCTTGATCTTTCATTGGTTTCAACGCCTGGTACAGTTATGGACTTACCGGTGCAAGGATTAACAATTATATCTCCATGACCAACAACCCATTAACGTAATATTCAGAATACACGAATCGCGAATACATTGGAGGGGGAAGAGTTCTTCTTGATAGAAAAGAGGTTAACACTGGTGTTGATGACGACTAAAGCGAAGAAGAAGAGAAAAAGAGGAAGTTTAGTTGTCCCGTTTCGAGATCTATTATCGGTTAAAACTTTAAGGAGACGCAAAGGCTGAGTCAAGGATCGTAAGGGGAAACCATCTGATGAAACTCTTGCTGCGGATGATTTTTGCCCATGATTTCGATACGAGCAGAAACCTACATACAGATTTCGCAGGCAATCGATTAAGAACTTCTATCAGTAGATCCAAAGGAAGAACATCAGAGTTTCTGTCTTTCTAGGTTGCCGGAGATTTCGGATTGTTGTTGGTTTTCCTCTTTTTGAAAACACCGAGAATTCTTCTCCTGGTCGGAAGCCCTAGATACTCCCAAGCGTAAACAGTGTTTGAAGAACCGGCTCTATCACCTCTTTTCAGAGAGCCGACTCTCAAATAATCAGATGCTATATCATATTTCTTTTTTTCTTTTCTTTTCTTTTTAACTTAAAAACTCCTTAGACGTTGTACAATACAGATGCTCTTAGCGTCAGCGAAGGAAGAAGAAGCATAAAAAGAAATTTCGGTTATTGTAAACGACGTCGTTTCGAATGACGTGTTGGCCAAGTCTTACCCTAAGCTTTTCGAGGCTTTTTTATGTTTTTATCTTTATTGCGCAGGTAATGTTGATGATGAAGGTGTTTACATTGAGTATAGAAGAAACTGAATTGACTTCTTTTCAAGTTTTTTAAAGTCTATGCTCATATTCACCTAGTCTTGTGAATGTAATCGGGGTTAATTAATTTCTTGAGTAGGGGTTAATTAATTTCTTGAGCAAATAGGTCATTTTAAGTAAAAGAGTACACATTATAACTTCATACGCTAAACACGCGACTATATGAAATTAAGCACTAAAGAAAACTATTTCTTAACCTCAAACTCTTGAATTTCGACAGGAACACCCTCGTGACACCCATCTTTGATCTTAACCAATTCATAATCATCTCCTTCCAAATAAGCCATCAAAAATGCTACAACAATACCACCAACAAATCTCCTCATTGGCCTTCTCCCTTCACCATTCTTGCACAAACAGTAAGATCCTTTCCCTCTAATCCCCTTTGTATCATCATCAAGCATGTCCAAGTGCCCGTAATCCTTTGCAACGAAATGCCACGCTGGACGTTGACATTCCGTGAAGAACTCTCGGTGGTTCACTCCGGGAGGTGCACACGGCGGGAAGAGCGGGTTCCGGGCGGTTTCTCCGAGCCCCGAACCGATCATAAGTACAGGCATGTTGTCTAGGTCAAATGAGTTTGGTTCATAGGTTAAAACCGGAGGAGGGGTTTGAAACCCTTTCCCTGTTCCATCTAACGGATCTATACCGATCAATGTCGAGATCTTTAGATCCGAGGGGTATCCGAATTTCTTTAGGGCGGCTGCAAAAGCGGTTTTGCCGCCGCGGCTATGGCCGGAGAGTGCGAATTTGGATAGGTTTGGTGTTACTTGTGGTGGAAGAAAGTGGTTAAGTCCGACTGATAACCAATTCATAGTCTCTGCCGTTGATTTGATCTCGTCCATCGTGTCTGGTCCGGCGATGCTATATAACTGTTAAATATCACATCACCAAGAAACTTGATTTACAACTTTATAAAAATGTAAAACGATATAGTTCTTGAAAAGTACAAGAGCTTGTGATGTATTTGAACAACGTGATTAGAGATAAATCCAAAATCACACATCAAGTGGACCCATCGATTTGCATCTTTGTTCTTACTTTTCTTCATGTGTAAGGTTTTTTTATAAAAACCCAAAAAAGGTTTCAAGAAAAATACTCAGTGAAACGTGGCATCATGTACACCATTTAGGTGAGTTATAGATAAATCTTTTATTGTGATTTTTTTTTTGTCACCACACGTATATTTCACAAGTAGCTAAACTATACACACTGTAATCAATAAGAAATTTCAATGGCTGATTAAGTAGTGATTAAATGTAATTAATTTAAGATTAAATTGAACCTGAGGAGCGATGACGATGAAGCCATGGGAAGAGACATGCAACATAAGCTGGGAATAGAAGGAGTTGTAGAGTAGGTAACCATGGAAGAGCATCACCACCGGATATTCCCCTTCCTCCACAGGCGTTGCTATCAAGAGGCGCTTTGGCGGCAACGAAGGAGAAGAAGAGGGAGTCATTCTCAAGCAGCAAGATGATGAATCCACGGTTAAGAGATCTGTTTTGTATTTGCCATCCTCAAAGACGTTTCTTGATGAAGAAGAGGACATTTTATTTAACATTAAAACCAAAAGAAATAGAAAAGAGGAGGACATTTTATATTCTTCTTTGTTATTTTTTTATATTTTATTTTATATTTTCTTTTGTGGATTCATGAGAATGAGATGAGTTGGAGATATTATTATAGGCACGAAAACAACTTTAGGTGGGATTTTTTTCCTAGTTTTGAAATGATTAAGAACAATGAAATTAAATATATAATAATAGGACTTTTGGTTTTTTGTTTTTCGACTCAAAATATTAATTTTTTTGAAGATATCATTTTTTGGTGTAAGAATCTAAGAAAATAATTGTAAAAATTTGTGCAAAATTCATGAATAAAAAAAAAAAATAGAGATGTTCATTAAACAAAAAATTGGAATTGTCAAAATTTAGAAAATATGATGATTGTAAAAAAACTTTGATATGTTGCTAGGCTTGGAATTAGGCTTTGGAGTATCACTGGACTTCTGTTTATATTTTTTTTTTCAAAATCAATGACTCTTGCTAGTTTGGTTCATATATCTAAGTCCCATGTAAAACTACAATCAGATGTATTTTAATTGGTAACATGCCAGTTTTACATTTTTATGGATTTACTGAGAGGATACTAACTAAAGTTTGCCAAAAAAAAGCATAAAAAACTAGAGAGAATATCAGCTGGATATGTCATTCTGTCAACGATTCAAAGAAAATTTATGAAGATGTTTTATAATCTCTCCTTAAGAGATTTAGATATTTTACTTTAAAAGAATCCAAATCTCTTAATATAAATAAATCCTAAAAAATCTTTGTAAAGACATTTTGAATCGTTAGTTCAAATTTTTTTTTTTTGAATCATTGATAAAACAATATAGAATAAAAGAATGAATTATGGATTTGCAGTATTTTCTGTCCATAATAAACCTAGAAATTGCACCTCATTAAAGGTTTATTAATGATATTTAAGTACAAAAAAGGAATAAAAATGGAAAAAATATAATTTTATAAAACATAAGCAAAATATAAGTAAAACATAAGCAATATATAAGCAAAAAATAAAATTTAGGAGTAGATTATTCGAGTTGAATTCATACTACAAGACATTAATTAGTGCTTAGTTGGATTACAACTGAATTCAAGTAAAATGAACAATAGTATCGTGCTATGACACTAGTGCTAGAATCAGATTACATGACATTAGTGCTTACTTAGTCTAGGCATGATTCTTTTTTGGGCTTTACTGTTTTTATGGATTGAATGGTTCAAAGGTGTTAATATTTAATTTCTTTCTTTTTGTTTGGGTATTGATATGAAAATGAGTAATATATACGTTGAATATTACAGGTGGAAAGGAGTAAGAAACATAGAGATCTTGTCGTGGATGGAGTTGACTGCATCACCACCGGGCCAAGGGACCTGAGCGCCAGCCTCGGGCTCTTCCATGACCCAAGGAATCAACAGAAATTTGGAGATTTCATTTTTTTTTTTGGGTAAGAAACTAAAAGGGTTATTATAAAAATTTGTGAAAAAATATGATTGAAAAGATATAAATATTTTTATATAAAAAATATAAAATTATGTAAACAAAATATTTGAAATTGTTAACAGTTTTTTTTTTAAAATATTTGAAATTGTTAACAGTTTTTTTTATAAAAGATGATACTTGTAAAAAAAGAAAAGAAGAAATATTTGATATGTTGCTAAGCCTAAGGACTGGGCTTTGGGATTTTATTAGACTTTTATGTGTATAATTTTTGGGTTATAACTCCTCAGATAATGGTGAAATTAAAAAGTGAAGTGTAATAATCAAAAATTAGTTTCATACATATTACACATAAAAATTATGATCTTTTGCCTCTACAAATTTTTTGATGCAGTTTTAGTAGATAAATATTCGATTACCAAGCTAACTAATATGATATCATAATAATGGTTGATTACCATGCTAACTAATATGACGTTCAATTAGCATATTGTACAAAATCGAGTTAACCTAATCATATAATATATAAAAGTTTATGACATAGTGCATTGAGGGCGTCTACATTGGATTAAAAAACTCAATCTGATTGGTCCACATCAGCATATTCATTAAATAAAAAATATTAAGTATGATTAAGATAGAAAAATTTGATTTAATTGGTCCACATCAGCTTTTAAATCAAACCAAAAATTATTAAGTATAATTAAAATATTATAAATTAATTTAATAAATTATGTCTAACAAAAAAAATAGGTCCAATCTGATTGATCCAAATCAACATATTTATTAAATCAGAAAATGTTAATATGGTTTAAAATTTAAAAGTTAAATAAAAAAATTAACAATTAACAATACATGTATAAAAAAGTAATCATTATCAATTATCAATTTAAAAAAATCTACAATAACTCGATTTAATAATTAAAACAATGAAAACTAAATAAAAATATAACATAAAACTCTTGAAAGACATGATGGAGGAGGAAAAAATGATTTTGCATGATTATTACAGCTTCCTAACAAAATTAAATGCTAATCAACATGAATCATGGATTATAAACATCAATAAGACTTTCAATAAAAAAACTAAATATTTGAACACATAAACGGAATCTTCAAGAAAAAAGAACTATAGAAATTCTATGGAAAATAGAAAATAATACCAAAATCTTAGCAAGATTATATTTCTCTAAATCAAATGTATATGTACGTCAAAGTTGAATAATTCGATAGATGTCATTGTTATTATTTTACCTAACAGTTTTTTTAAAATTTATAAATAAAAATAGGATAAATTACACATTATATATTAAATTCTCTTATATAAATGAATTTTTTTTATAAATATATTATATTTTTAATAATTTTAAAGATAGTACCTAAAAAATTTAAACCAAAATATTAATATACCTAGTTATCATATAATAAAAAAATAAAATTATTATGTAAACAATGTTATTATATCAAAAACTTATTGTATTAACCTCCTGAAAATGATAACTATCTTGCTAATCTTACTAATTTTTTAAGCTATACGAAATTATTTTGATAACCACTTAATTAATTGTCATCAGCATTATCAATAATGCTATTGTTATTGCCATTCACCATTTTTTACCACCATAACTACCATCTTTTACCATCACCACCATTATATTCCTCCATCATTATTACCACCATATACTGCAATTTGAGAAAATAAAAAGAAACAGCAAAAAAACTAAATCGTCCTACCTTTGATTTAAAACAAAACATTTGAATCTTTCTTTGTTAACATTATTGTTATTGCCTTCCATCATCTTTCATCGTCGTCTTTTACCACTACTATCATTTTCCGTCATCATTATCACCACTATATATTGCAATTTGAGAAAATAAAAAGAAGACTCAAAAAGCTAAATTGTTTCGCTTTGGATTTAAAACAAAACATATCACTTGTGGGGTGCAATATAAAATTGATTGTGTCCCCTTGTACATAATATTTTGTATGGGTTTTAAGCTCTTTCTATATGCAACATGTGTACTAAAAAATGTCAGAAGTAAAGCTTAATTCTCTCATTATCTAAGGTCATAAAATGTAATTTCTCTTCTTTTTTTCCAAAATCAATGAACCTCTGCTAGTTCGGTTCAAATATGTAATTCTAGGTGCAAAACTACTATCATAGTATATTTCAACTGATAACATGTTATTTTTGCATTTGTATGAATTTACTCAAGAGAATATCAACAGCTAAAAGTTTGCCGTAAAGGCATATACTGATATCCATAGAAAAAGTTTTTTTTTTTCGAAAAAAGTGAGAACATTTTATTCATTTCTGAGGTTGAGCGTTTAGTTCCTCTAAGCAGAGTGAAGCCAAATTGAGATAATTTATGATGAAAATGAATTTGATAGAAAATCAAATAGCCCATGAGAGAAGAAGCTTTATTTCGGTGAAGAAAAAAAAATTAAAGAAAAAGTTTATATAGAAACCAATTCTAAAATGAATTTTTAAATTGTTCTTAACAACCATAAAATTTAATGATCATAGCAAAACTATTTGTGGGTTTGTATTGTGAGTTTCTTATATATGTATAGATAATAATCCACATGATACATAAAGTTTTAATCCTATAAAACTACTGTAAATACATAATAAATGTTGTAGTAAAACATGGATTGAATCCACAAAGACCAAGTGTTACACTAAATTTTAATGAATGAAACTAAGTTAAGACAAAAATATAGTTGTTGGTTGTAAAGTAAAATGAAAATATCAATTAGTCTAGAAATCAATTAAAGCAAGTGTTAGGTCAAGGGTAATTCGCAAGAACCCGAGACTATAAACCAGACAATTATTCAGGGAAAAAATAAGCACAGTCTTGAACTCAAATATAAATTTATAGCCAATCCACTGTCGTAGTCTCAGAAATTTTATCTAGCAACCTAAAATTTTAAAGTGTCATTTGAATTTAGAGTTGTAAATAAGCACTCATATTAATTTTTTTCACTGATTGCCTTAGCATCAGTTTTTGTTGGCTGAAGGCAATCTGCTCACCTATGTTCTTATCAAGCAATCTATAACACTTTTGATGAATAAATTACACTTTAAATCAGAGACTAAGTGATCAAGCCAGTCTAAACAATGAGTACAACAATAGATGAATATAACATATGAAAATCTCTATCTATGTTTGATATAATGATTCATAAATCTTTTGAAATCATAAACCTAACTAATAAACTACTCAGACATGGAAGCAGAAAAAAAGCAAGGAGATGGAGAGAACTTCATAATCAATAAATAAGAAATTCAAAGGGGTTCAAAAAATTTCTCAAAAGATATAGAGTTAAAGATTCTTCTCCCCAAGCTTATAAAGATCAAAAACCAAAAGAAAGAATAGAAAATAATTTGTTCTCTGGCTAAATAATGGCTAAAAATAAGTATATATAGGTCTAGGGTCAAAATAGGTTGAGTTATGATAATTCCAGGACAAAACTGGAATTTGCAGATTGCCTTTCGTTCTTAAAAGTTCACAGCAATTTTTTATCTCAGAAAGATCATTCTGGAAGTGGATCGATCATTCCAATGACTCCTTCGGCGCATGCTTCAACTGGACGC